CCTACCAAATGCTTTCAACAGGGTTTCCGTGCTCCAATTCCTGAATGTAAGTGCAAGTATATATATTTATTTATGCACAGTGCAACATCTTTCAGTTGTCTGTTTCTTTGGCATTAATTGTTGGTTTAGCTTCTGATCCACCAAAACACCCAGATTCTGTTCACATATACTACTGCCATCCTGCATTAATGCCTTTGATTTTTTTTTCTATGCAAATATTGGACTTTGCATTTATCCCTGTCCAGAGTAATCTCCCTTGTTTCTGCTCATTACTACAGCTTTTAAAGATCATTTGAAGTCTTCATTCTATCCTCTGAAGTGTTTTATATCCCTCCTCTTTTGTATCATCTCCAAAATCAATTACTATATTTTCTAACCACTAATCCAACTTATTTATCAATATGTTAAACAACACAAGACCTAGAACAGAGCCCTGCAATTCAACCCTTCCTTCCAGCTGGACCTGGAGCCATTGATACACCCTTGCTGGGTATGATTGTTCAGCTCTGCATCCAACTAATGGTAGTGCAGTCCAGCCCACAGGTTGCCCTCTGTTTTACCAGGATTTCATTGATACTTTATCAAATGCTTTGCTGAAGTCAAGGTATACTATGTCCACTGCATTCCCATAATCAACTAAACCAGTCACTCTATTTAAAAAAGATCAGGTTGTTCCTGAAGGCTCCTGCCAAACACTCAAAGATCATGGAAAGGGGCTCTAAGATGGCCCCCATGAGCTCCTTTGAGACTCTTGGGCAACTGGTCCTGGCCTGGAGACTTAAACTTGTTCATGGTATCCAGGGGCTCCCTAACTATCTCTTTGTTTACTAGTCCTTCCTTGTGGTTCTGCCTAGCTCCATTTGAACGCAGTTCCTCTTTGGGGAGAAGATGAAGGAAAGCAGAAGCTCTGCCCTTTGCCCATCCCTCCTTACTCCCCAACCATTTTCTCCTTGCAACAGATCCGCCCCTTCCTTTTTCTTCCTCTGACTACTGACCCAGCCAAAAAAGGCCCTTATCTTGCTTTTAGCTTCTCTAGTGAGCATCCGTTCC